CAGCGAGATAACAGAAATTATATAAAAATTCCCAGTAGTTAAGCAATTGTTGATTATATGCCTTGTCGATTTATTAGCACTTGGATAAATAATGCGGATTAAAAAGATAAGTGATGAATTACTTAACCATCGTATCTTTTGAATTGCGGCGTTTCACACAGTACTTTGTGAGAGATTTGAATAATATTTTTTCAGAACAAAGAAGCGCCTTGAGCTTATAATGAGAGTTACAACAAAAAGATTCTATTCTTCATAGATAATTATGAGAATGATGCATATTCCATTTATCTGTTGACGAAAGTAAATACATGGACGTGCATTACCGACCTTTTAGAGATATTTGAAATTCATCGTTTTATGGAAAAGATAAAATTTTTTGTTTGCTTGTATAACAAGAGTGAAGAGAATCATTCACAGATGTTCTCCCTAAAAATATTCTTTGATAAGCGATAGCCTACGCAGCGCATTCAGTTAATCCAAAATGCCCTACTTCCACTATGAAAACTTATTCGGCTATTATTAAAATTATATAATCTCATTAAGATGAATATTACATTATGTGAGATCAAGTTCGAACAAAGATTGTATTGAAAACTATGTTCCTTAGAATTTTTTTCATATTCTTATCAATTATCTAATTTTATTAAAATTACAAATATTTAGAATTGCTATAAAGTACGTGTAAAATGTTTTCAACAATCGTGAAGTGGTTCCTTCACAAATTCTGAAAATGTCGGAAAACTGTTGCATGAATCATTATACACGCGTGTCTGTTGGAAAGGCGTTCCGACGCCCACGCAGTTTTCTACACGCTCCGCGTTAGCTGAGGAACCTTGATTTTTCTCTACGATCATACGCAAATGAAAGACTTCTGCCAATTTCCCACCACGGTGCAACTTGTATCTTTCATTTATTATGATACTCGCACGTGCAAGCTGTATCGAATAGTGCGAAACCGTCGCGAGTAAAAGATTTATTGTCTAACATTAAGAATTAGGAAACATGGATTAAGCATGTGAAAGTATTTCATATTATATTTACAAAAGCTTAATTAATTATGCAGAATTATATCTTTTAGATTATATCATTTACAATTAAAAATGATTGAACCTTTTTTTAATAGTGAGAATATAAAAAGATGTGAGTGGAGGGTAGGTATTTTTATTCACATTCTTCTTAACATCGAATACTTTATCAAGACACACAACTGCACTAAGCATAAAAATAGTTTGGGACGGTGTTTAAAATAGAAGTTTATGTATTCGTATGGAGCCCAAGACTGCTTTCACGTACACGTGCACAGCAACAATAAAAGTTCGAACACATTTCCAGTAGGCTGTTCAAATAACTCTTTTAGTACTTCTGATGGTTTAACAGAAGGACGGGCCAACAAATATGCGCAGTTAATCCGGCTGCGGTGACTGTAGCCAAATGTAACCGTGGACGAAGTTCAATGCCGCGTGGACTTTCTCAAAGCGGGGAACCAACCGAAAGAAATATTGCCCTCGATTTTCCTTGAATGTTTACGCAATCATAATACGATCTAACCATTCTTCGACTTCAGTTACTTATTTTTTGGGCAATGGAATATTTAAAAAAATGTTTCCTTCTTCTGTTCCTATCTCATCAGCTTTAGACAGAGAGCGATAGGGTCCCAAGCGATAATGTTGCGTGGAACGCTGACTAGACTCCTTTTTTCTAGTTCTAACGAGTCACCAATTGTGTGTCAGAAATAAATTGGTTAAATGGGGTAGTTAAATATTATTTGGAGAAATTGAGTGATTAATTTGAAAACTGTTAGTTCAGAAATAGGATTTAAAGTAATATACTATGACAATAGTTTATTAATATACAACACTGTATTTTTATTGAGTAAATTATTTCAGTACAAAAGCAAAATTATCAAATGAAGACGTTGAACATTCAATTCAGCTCTATTATAATGCCTTTCGATTTAGTTTAATATTTATCACGCTGTAGACATAGTAAAAGTGCATCTAGTGAATTGTGCAATAATTTCGACCTGAAAATAATGATTAAATGGGAGTATGTTGTGTTTTAGGTAAATTAAAGTGTTTGTTCTAAAATATGAAAAATACTTAAAGAGCAGTGTACCATTATTATTAGAATTTCTGCATAATATTGGAAGTGGACTGAAACTAGAAATTTTTATCACCCTCCCACGAGACTAGTTAACATTTTGCGGTTCACTTCTTTCAATTGCATCACTCAGCTGGAGGTGGACCCACTATTATTAATTACCATTTGCTATTAACATCTGAAAATGTAGACAAGTTTAAGTCATGCAATTTTCATAATAAAGTAATAAACTAATGCCAGTGCCAGTTTAGTTAGGAAACATATTTCATAATTCATAATCTTGAAACCTTGACTAAAATAAATTAGTACGATAATTGAAGAAGCAACATTAAAGGTTAAAGATTTTTACACTGACGTTTCCTTTTCCTCGATACATATTCACGCGTACATAAGTCACATCCGGTCATGTGTTCCTATGTCAAGTCTATGGCGTATGATAATTAAAATCACTAAAGTAACTTCATTGCAAAATCGTGATACGAAACGAGCAATGCGTCGATTGTTTTTTATTATGGAACGATTCTCTTATTTATTTTGTCTAACTACGAGGACGATACATTATGTTCTATCAGTTTGTGTGATTCTTCTCCGGAGCTTATTTCGAAATACTTCTGCCACGTGCCTTCAACGAGCTTCGCTTTTATGCCGCTTTACGCATTGACCGCAGAACTTTTACAGATAATGAATTTTGTTTTAAAACAAATTAAATGTATAAAAAATAGTTTGGCTAAAGTTCACGTTCCTAAAGTATAATCTGAAATTTAATCAACTGGAAATTCCTCGATTATGCAAATTGCTGAATACTTTTTGTTATCAATGAAATACAAAAAATCAATTATAAATAAGAACCACAAAACTTCGATTTCAGACAGGAAATTCGTATTAAATGATTGTGGTATCTTAAGTAGACAGAGATGACTCCATTCAAGAAGATTACTGCAGTTTTTATATTTCATCTACGGTTTTATGATGATTAATCAAACTGTAGCGATACTCTAATACCGGATTAGTCGCGTGTCGTTAATATTTTTTCGCAATACTCGAGATAAAAGCGGTGTTATAACCGTTTGCGTTGACTTTATTATAACACGAATTTCCATTTTAAATGTGAAGTCGAAAGAAGGAACAAATCGAATTTAGACGTAACGATTATAAATTAAAATACGTCTTATACAATACTTATGAGTTAAACAGATGTAGAACTCGCAGCATGCAGATTTCTTTTGACGTTAATGCAAGTCGATGACGTGTGCATAATTAATTAGTTGTCGCAAGCTAGCAAAACGATTTTTTTCCCGTTCGTTTTGAAAAAAAATAAAAATCGTTGATCAGAAGGAATGTACATAACTACGTTCGCTGTACACTTCGTACTCTGTTATCGGCGATCGCATCAGCCATTGACGCATGCTTCCACTGTTAATTAACATATCAAAATATTTTGTAGCAGGGTGAATCTAAGGAATCTCATGTTTTTCACAATGAGATAAATTATTGTCCGATTGCGACAAATATTACGTTGAGTTGATTAATAGCGGCTGGTATTATAAACAACGGTTCAAGGTAAATCGTCGATCTATATACGTAAACGTTACCAACATATTAACTCGATAATGTGGTAATAATTTTTCATGGACCACGTGGATTGCGTTCAACTACCAAGAACAACGAATGTTTGCAAACGAATTAAAATTGCTTCCGATATCAGTGGAATAATCGCGGCTGGCTTAAAACATGAAATTGCGAATTATTATCAGATATTATTTTTAACCACATGCTGATATATTTTTCTTCTGATTGAGAAACGAATCTAAGAATGGCTGAGACACGGATTATATTCTCCAACCGAATCCATCTTAATAGAATCACGTGAATCAACCATCTAAATCATGGCGCCATCGTGTCAACGGGTCTCCAGCACAGCCATAAACGCTTAAATACCGTCTCATTACTTTGCTAATCCCTTTAATAATCATTTCTACGAACGTAAATTAATATTATTGTCTCGCAAACGCAACGACGCGCCGCGGGTATCCATGCTGGTGCCACTGACGGATCGTCAGCGGTTTCAATCATAATTGATATACGCGTACAATGCAACACGGCTAGTAACAGTATAGCAATCAACGGCGGCAATAAGCAGAGCGACCGGCTTCTGGAAGAATCGCGTCTGCTCACTGGCATTCGCGATTTTCTCCGGATCACCGTTTTTCTTTTTTGCTTTTCCTTTCCCTCCGTCACTGCCAGACAGACGGGTTGATAACATTCCGACCTTCTTCGACGATTCGTTGATTGTTATGACCGCGATTCTCACCGCGCCTCGGCTGCGAAATCGCGATCATCAGACTCGTATTAAGGCAGCCACATACGTAGCGATCTCGCGTACGAGTATAAATAATAAATTAGCGTTTCTGTATCTTGATAATTGCGCGACGCACGATTACGGGCTCGTCTATTCATGGGCGTTCGAAGCGGCAAGGTGCGTGCGCGCGCGTTGCGAAACGTTTACGTAGTCACCGTTTATCGTCAGAGTTGATGCTCGTTAGTCGCGTAACTGATTGCAGGTGAAGTATTCAACTGTTCAAACGGATCCTCTGTTTATGATATATTGTAAAGTGGAAAAAGCACTAGTTATTTTGTTCGACATGTAAATTTTTCAAATACAAGGTATTATCGATGAGCAAGAGAATTTGAAAGAATGGTTAAACCATTCACTCAATCATTCTTTCAAACTCTAATGCTCATTGGTAACACATTTATAAAAGAATTTCTAAAAGGAGGACATAATAAGTGCTGTTTTTCTTTTTGCATTCGAATCCAAT